ATAACTGGCTTCTATTATTTTAAAATGCCGAAGTTTTGAAACACAAAGAAAAGCTGAGGGTCTGTCCCAGATTAGAAGAGACCAAAGAGACAAGTAAATGTAACACATGTGACACATGGTAGCACAATGAATCCTATTAAAGCAAAACAAAATTGTTTTTTAGTTAAAAGATTACAGAAGAACTGGAAAAATGTGAGTAAAAACTATAGATTGTAGCATAATTTCAATGTTAACTTCCTGATTTTGACAACTGTACTGTAGTTAAGTCAGAAAATATCCCTGATTTTTTTGTTTTGTTTTGTAGAGATGGAGTCTTGTTATGCTGCCCAGGAAGGTCCTTGAACTCCTGGCCTCAAGCAATCCTCCCACCTCAGCCTCCCAAAGTGCTAGAATTACAGATGTGAGCTAGCGAACATCAATCAATGTTTTGAAGAAATTCGTATTCCAGTATTTTGTAAAACGGCATCCAGTCTGAAAAATTATTTGGCTCAGGAAAAAATAATTCATGTGTGTGTATAGAGAGATGAGGCCAGATGCAGCGGCTCACACCTATAATCCCAAAACTTTGGGAGGCTGAGGCAGGAGGATCACATGAGATATCGACCAGGAGTTCAAGACGAGATGGGCAAGGGTGAGACTCCATCTTTACAAAAAATAAAAAGCACAAAAATTAGTTGGGCATCGTGGTGAGCACCTATAATCCCAGCTAGTCAGAAGCATGAGGTTGGAGGACTGCTTGAGCCCAGAAGTTCCAGGCTACAGTGAGCTATGATCTTACACTGCACTCTAACCTTGGAGACAGCGTTAAGGTCCCACCTCAAAAAAAAAAAATGGGGGGGGGGGAACAATAAACAAATATGATAAATGTTAACATCTAAGGAAACCTAATTAAAGAGTACATGGAAATTTGGTAGTGTTTTGTCAACTCTTCTGTATACAATTATTCAAATAAAACATTAAAATGTATTAAGAAAAAGAGTAAACTCGTGCAGGATTCCAAATGCCTTAAAGTGTTATTTTCCTCTCAAGTCTCTAATCCAAAGGCTTCCCTACTAGGATTTATCAGTCTAAAATAACAGCTCAAACATAAAGGAGAGACTAACAAAATAGGGCTGCAGTGTATCATAACTAGAGGAAAATGAGCTGTAGATTTCGTCTCAGATGACAGTCACCACCCAACTGCCTTGTAAATCATTCCTCCAAATCACTGGGCCTACAAAAATTATGCTACCCCTAAAACCCAAATGTCAGTGGCATTTTTCTCCAACAAATGGAACTTCTTCAAGAAATGAATAGCCGGTTATCTATTATACTCAACATACTACGCTAAACATTGCAAGATACAAAATAAGCAAGATAGTTCTTATTCTTAAGTAATTTATATTCTAGAAAGAATCTGGAAAACCACAAACACACCCTCATCATCATCACATTAGCTACTCAGGTAATGATCCAAAATTCCTATATCTTTACATAATTTTCCTCTCTCCCACGTAAGCCCTTCCTATGGGTCCTTTGCTAAAACTATTGCTCAGAAGTCTCTCTCTTTACGCCTCCTCTCCCTTTACAGTAAATGTATTCAGTGCCTGACAGAATACTATATTCTACAAAAACCAAAGAGTATACAGAGAGAAAATATGCCATTCCTTTGGATGGATAGATCCTATATGATTAACTTTCATCCGCAATAAATTATTTTAAATTTCTTCTAGACAAAGACTCCAAAGCAATGTTTTAGGTTCTACTTATCATCTGTGTTATTTACTGTTTCACCTTGGCTAAGAAGCCAAAAGTCCTAATTTTACAAATAGGAAAAATATAGCTTATATGCCAAAAAAAAAGAAAACAGAAAACATGTCAATAGTAGTGGGAAATAAAAAAATATTATTTAAGGTAGGGAAAACAAATGACAAACCTGAGTATACACCTTTAACTCTGTAGACTACTATTTTACATGAGTCTTAAGTTTTGAGTAAAATCACTACCCTCTTTCAGACTTTAGCCTAAGCATTGCCTAGTGTCAACCTGAATGACAGCCAAATTTCATAACACTAGTAATTTAAGACCTCAGTAGAAATTTTGAAAGTAGCTTATTTCTTCAGAAATTGCCTTTCAGGTTATGAGTTCCTAGAATTCTAGCCTCTCTCTCCTACAAAAATTATGTATCAGCTGGGCATGGTGGTGCGTGTCTGTAGTCCCCAGCTGCTAGTGAGACAGTGGGAGGAGAGTCACTTGAGCCCAGGAGTTTCAGGCTGCAGTGAACTGTGACCGTCCCATTGCACTCAAGCCTGGGCAACAGAGCAATACCTTGTCTCTAAAGTAAGAAATAAGTGTGGATCAGCTTTCATATCTTAGGAATCTCAAAAAATATTTTACCCATGAAAATAGTGTTTCACATTATTCACATACTTGAATCACTAAACTAAAATACTTAAAAGATAGTCATAAGATCAGAAAAGAGGGCCGGGCGCGGTGGCTCACGCCTATAATCCCAGCACTTCGGGAGGATCACGAGGTCAAGAGATCAAGACCATGCTGGTCAACAAGGTAAAACCCCGTCTCTACTAAAAATACAAAAATTAGCTGGGCATGGTGGCGCGCGCCTGTAGTACCAGCTACTCGGGAGGCTGAGGCAGGAGAATTGCTTGAACCCAGGAGGGGGAGGTTGCAGTGAGCTGAGATCGCGCCATTGCACTCCAGCCTCGGTAACAAGAGCGAGACTCCGTCTCAAAAAAAAAAAAGATCAGAAAAGAGGAAAATATTTAAGGACTCAAGTAATCCAAGAATTAATCTAAAACCCATTTAGAGATGGCTTTATAGAGTTCTCATATGGTTAAGATAGTAATGTAAACACCACAGAAAGCTGAATCATGGTTCCAAACTCTGTGGCAACAAAATGACAGTGAACTCAAATTTCTCCTCAGTAAACAAAAACAAACATCTGAGAAAAAAACTGTACTTCCATGGAAAATTTAATCCTGATGTAGAAAAGATCAACTAATTCCCAAACTTTTCCTTTTAAGCAAATAATAAAACTTTAGACCAGGCATGGTGGCTCACGCCTATAATCCTAGCACTTTGGAAGGTCAAGGCGGGTGGATTACCTGAGTTCAGGAGCTGGAGACCAGCCTAGGCAACATGATGAAAACCCGTCTCTACTAAAAATACAAAATATTAGCCGGGCATGGCAGCATGTGCTTTAGTCCCAGCTACTCAGGAGGCTGAGGCAGAAGAATTGCTTATAACTGGGAGGTGGAGGTTGTAGTGAACTAAGATCATGCCACTGCACTCCAGCCTGGGTGACAGAGCGAGACTCCATCTCAAAAAAATAAATAATAAAATAAAAATTGAAAGAGTATAACAAGACATCACTTATCTTGCTGGTCTAGAATAAGAAAATCTGCCAGGTGTGGCGGCTCACATCTGTAATCCCAGCACTTTAGGCAGCCAAGGCGGGCAGACCACCTGAGGTCGGGAGTTTGAGACCAGCCTGACCAACATGGAGAAAGCCCGTCTCTACTAAAAATACAAAATTAGCCGGGCGTGGTGGCACATGCCTATAATCCCAGCTACTTGGGAGGCTAAGGCAGGAGAATCAGTTGAACCCGGGAGGAAGAAGTTGCAGTAAACCAAGATCGCACCATTGCACTCCAGCCTGGCCAACAAGAGCGAAACTCCGTCTCAAAAATAAATAAATAAATAAATAAAATAAAATCTGCTAAGTGATAAAACTATGACTGGAGGTCTTTACTAATGTTTTGGAGAAATAAAATTATTTTTCAATACGTTTTTGTCACCATAATCAACCTAAGATAATTGAGCTAATTTAGTTGTTATGACTTAAGATGTCTTTATATTTTCATAATTAAATGAAATGGGAAAAAAAGAAATCCTGGAAATGTGACACAGTTCCAATGGATCAAGGGCCCTTTTCTGGTTCTATTCCGGCCCAGGAACCAAGAAGAAAATTATCAGCCAGTATGCTGTGTTACATTTACCAATGAAAGAAGCATTAAGTACTTTCAAAGCCTACATTTAAAAAAACACCTTATCAAATAAAGCTTGAAACAGAAAAGAAAATCAGAAATCCTAGGCCAGTGTCTTAAGTCATGTCATCACTTTCTGTTGGTTCTAATTAGACTAGGCCTCAGATTCCCCATCAGTAAAATGAAATGTATATATATACCATTTAACTTCATACAAATATTCTGAGGATCAAATGAGATGATTTTTTAAAATTACTCCTTCTCAGCTGGGCATGGTGGCTCATGCCTGCAATCCCAGCACTTTGGGAGGCCAAGGCAGGCAGATCACTTGAGGTAAGGACTTCAAGACCAGCCTGGACAATGTGGCAAAACCCTGTCTCTACTAAACACAAAAATCAGCCGGTGCCATGGCACATACCTGTAATCCCAGCTACTCAGGAGGCTGAGACATGAGAATCGCTTGAACCTGGAAGAAGGAGGTTGCAGTGAGCCAAGATGGTGCCACTGCACTCGAGCCTGGGTGACAGAGCGAGACTCAATTTTGAAAAAACAAACAAAAAAAAATTACTCCTCAAGAGGAAAATGCTGGGTTTTCCACTATCCTATCACACATAGTGCTCCTCATTCCAGGTTCTTTTCAAGGCTGTCAATATATATGTGATCATCTTGTCTGACATGCAAAATCAGTTTTCATTTTTAGTAACTGGTTAACAAAATACTTTTTGTATTTACACCATGCCTCATTTCAAAAAGGATCTGAGGCACAAAAGCACATGTATACAGATTTTTTTAAATTATGCTAGCATAATAAAAAATAAATTGAACTGGGGAAGATTTCAATATGGTCTCTACCCTACAAACCTCACATCACAACCCATATGAAACCAGATACACCTGAAAATTTTTCAATTCATTATCTGATGTTAGAGTTCAAAAGCTGCTATAAATATACTGGAGCCACCAGAGAAATAATGATATTTTATCCTGCTATCCAAAAATTAACAGCGACCTTACCTTGTATGGATCAAGTAAAAAGTCACTGAACTTGCTGGGCAGAGAATATTTCTTCACCAATTCATCTTCTACAACCCAAGGTGCATTTTCACCAGTACCAGCTCGTAGCGCATTATGCCGTATAAAGTATCGAACTATCTCCTTATTTGGTGGGCGCTCTGTACGAATCAAGCTGTCTGCTGGCACATTACTGATGATCTAGGTTAAAATAAATAAGTAACTCACCACTGGGGTAAAAAGTAATTACCCAAACGAGAACATGCAATATGTGTTGCTCTCCACAAAAATCAAAATCCCATCTTTATCAAAAGGGCTACAAATTAGAAAGAAGAAAATATAGGCCAGGCATGGTATCTTACACCTGTAATCCTATCAATTCAGGGTGCCAAGATCTGAAGATTGCTTAGAGACCAGGCTGGGGAATATAACAAGACCCTCTGTGTACAAAAGTCAAAATATGCCAATAGTCCTAGCTATCAGGAGGCTGAGGCAGGAAAACTGCTTGAAACCAGGAGTCTGAGGCTGTCGTGAGCTATGATCACACCAATGCACTCCAGCCTGGGCAACAGAGTGACACCCTATCTCTTAAAAAAAAAAAAAAGAGAGAGGAATGGAGAATAATTTTCAGAGACAGAATGTCAATTTAAAAATATCCTTAGGCAATCTGTCAATATGTATCCAAGTTTTCTAAAAATATGTATACTCTTTCAGGAATTCCTCTCATTAAGAATTTATCTTAAGAAGTAAATAGACAAATTCATCATCAAATGCTTCTAATAGCAAAAAAAGTGGGGACGGAGTTGAGGGTCATCACCTAAAGGTACATCAATAAGAAATTTTTAAAATGAAAATACGTACATATAATGGACACTGTAGTCCTAAAAAAAAAAGTTTCTCAAACCAAAGAAATTCATCAGAATCATCTAGGGTGCTATTAAAATGCACCTCGATAAGCTTGGGCCTCGATACACGCTTAATGAAACTTATGAATCTCTGACAGTAAAGGTTAGGAATCAACATGTTTTATCAGCTCCCCTGGTGGCTATCACACACACTAAAATCTGAGAATACTGCATTGGAAGAAAATGTTGACATTACAAATGTTTAACTTACAACAACAAAAAAAATTTAGTTATAAAATAATATGGACCGAATATTTCTACTTTTAAAAGTCACTTAATACCAGGAAACAGAGATTGAAAGAAAATAAAAATTTTTTAAAAGTCACTTAGGAGCTAACTACCATTTACTAAATCTATATTCATCAATTATCTCTGAGTATGAAATCAGATATGAACTCATTCTTATTTGCATTTTCTTTCTTTCTATAACCAACACTTATTATTTATGAACAAAACACTTATACATCAATAAGAATACAAGTGATACTTAGGGAAGTGGTTGAGACCAGGCATGTCTTAATCAGCTACATTGCTGAATAAGAAGAAACTTGATGAAAACTGTATTTAACAATATCCAATTTTCAAATACAAAAATCATTCTAGGCCAAGCATGGTGGCTCAAGCTTGTAATCCCAGCACTTTGGGAGGCTGGGTGGGTGGGGGCGGGGGGTGAATCACCTGAGGTCAGGCGTTCGAGACCAGTCTGGCCAACATGGTGGAACCACACGTCTACTAAAAATACAAAATTAGCCAGGTGTGGTGGTGCATGCCTTTAGTCCCAGCTATTTGGGAAGCTGAAGCTGGAGAATCACTTGAACCCAGGAAGCAGAGGTTGCAGTGAGCTGAGACAATACCATTGCACTCCAGCTTGGGTGACAAGAGCAAAACTTGGTCTCCAAAAAGGAAAAAAATCCTAACAACACACCCAAGGCTTCTGATCACAAACCATAAAACCAATAGTCAAAATGAAATGGGACTTGTCAACATTCTGAGGCAGGAAAAAAACAACGCAAATAAAGAAGCAAAAGACAGCCACGCGCAGTGGCTCACGCCTGTAATCCCAGCACTTGGGAGGCCAAGGTGGGCAGATCACGAGGTCAAGAGATCAAGACCATCCTGGCCAACATGGTGAAACCCTATCTCTACTAAAAATACAAAAATTAGCTGGGCGTGGTGGCTCGAGCCCATAGTCCCAGCTACTCGGGAGGCTGAGGCAGGAGAACTGCTTGAACCCAGGACGCAGAGGTTGCACCACTACACTCCAGCCTGGCACCTGGCGACGGAGTAAGACTCTGTCTCAAAAAAAAAAAAAAGGAAGCAAAAGACTGGGGTTATAACCCTTCCCAATCTCATTTACTGAATGAGGAACTTTGATAGTTATTAAACTTCTAAGGTCTTAGCTCTTTCTTATGTAAAATGGTTATGTCTGAAGTGTGCACTGCCTTCCACACCCAGTCCCCATTCACCTCTTTCCATTTATAAGATTCTACACATACAGGCGGTGTAGGAATACCTGAAAATAACATTCCATATTTCTTAAAATCTAAGTTCCAATCAGCAAAACCCACTTTTTCTTTTTAATGAAGTTTTGCTTGTCGCCCAAGGCTGGAGTGCAATGGTGAGATCTGAGTTCACTGCAACCTTTGCCTCCCCAGTTCAAGCAATTCTCCTGCCTCAGCCTCCCAAGTAGCTGGGACTACAGGTATCCACCACCATACCGGGATAATTTTGTATTTTTTAGTGGAGACAGGATTTCACCATGTTGACCAGGCTGGTCTTGAACTTCTGACCTCATGCCATTCGCCTGCCTCAGCCTCCCAAAGTGCTGGGATTACAAGTTGAGCCACAGTGCTTGGCCCAAAATACTTTATTTTACATACCATCAAGAAGAAAATTCTTGCCAATTGATTTTAACTTACATCCTGATTCCGGACAAAGTAAAAAAAAAAAAAAAAACCTGAACATCTTACAATAAATATAGTAATAAGTTAATATGAGAGTATTTATTATTGTAGGTTATTATTAGCTTGTAGATTTATAAGGCTCCTTGTAAAACCACCAAGCAGAGTTGACTCAACTTCTGAGTTTAATTATACTAACAAACCACTGCTCTACTTGTAACTGGGAAGAATGATTTCCTTAGAAAGTCTGTAACAGCTGGGAATAGATTCTTACTTTTCAAACTGAGTTTGAAGCTCAAATGTAAATTACTTATGCCCTGGTAACTCCTATAAAAAAGAGAAAAAGTGGACGGACGCAGTAGCTCACATCTGTAATCCCACCACTTTGGGAGGCCACGGCAGGCAGATCACGAGGTAAAGAGATCAAGACCATCCTGGCCAACATGGTGAAACCCCGTCTCTACTAAAAAAAACAAAAAATTAGCTAGGAGTGGTGACGCACACCTGTAGTCCCAGCTACTCAGGAGGCTGAGGCAGGAGAATTGCTTGAACCCGGGAGGCAAAGTTGCAGCGAGCCAAGATCATGCCACTGCACTCCAGCCTGGCGCCTGGAAACAGAGCAAGACTGTCTCAAAAAAAAAAAAAGAGAAAAAGTGCCAGGCACAGTGGCTCACACCTGTATTCCCTGCACTTTGGGAGGCTGAGGTGGGTGGATCACCTGAGGTTGGGAGTTCAAGACCAACCTGAACAACATGAAGAAACCCGATAGCTACTAAAAATACAAAATTAGCCAGCCATGGTGGCAGGTGCTTGTAATCCCAACTACTCGGGAGGTTGAGGCAAGAGAGTCGCTTGAAACCGGGAGGCGGAGGTTGTGGTGTGCCAAGATCACGCCATTGCACTCAAGACAGGGAAACAAGAGCAAAACTCCATCTCAAAAAAAAAAAAAGGAATAGAATACTATCTTCTAGGAAAAGAAAAAAATAATAATTTACAATAACTTGAAATCATTAATCACTATAACCAGAAAACCACTCGGTCTGTTGTACAAAGACATTCATTTACATTTTTCTTTAGCACATTTTCTCCAACAAAACCAACCCTATGACATTTTCTTAAAGAACATCTATCACATGTAAAACGTTTAATGTAAAGTGTCAACTAACCTTATCTTCACTCTGTAGTTTCACGTCGTATTTGTGAGGCAGAAATTTGGGGGGAGCCCATTTCCGTTCTCCTTTTTTCAATGAAGTAGGGAGTTTTCGTGGTGATCTACGTGCTCTGTCATCTAGTCAAATCATAGAAAATTAGTGGAAAAAACGATGATATTAATTATATTCATTCGCTAACAACAGTCTTAACTGAACATTTGCTCTTCAGTAGGAACTGGGTGGCCCGGCACAAGATGAATCATAATGTCCTTATCTACAAAGAGCTTAAGTCTATGAGGAGAATCAGAAAGTCATTAACTACAATGTGGGAAACAGTATACAGAAGTTGGTAAAGAAAAACACTTTGAGAATACACAGAAGGAATATCTAACTTATTTTGGAAGGTAGGTAGAAAGATGAGCAAGATGACTACTTGGGCCAGGTGAACTAGTTCACGACTGTAATCCCAGCACTTTGAGAGGCCAAGGTAGTCAAGGGTGTGAGACCAGACAGGGTGACATGGCAAAACCCTATCTCTACAAAAAATTAGCCAGGTATGATGGCACACACCTGTAGTTCCAGCTACTTGGGGACTGAGGTAGGACGACCTGAGCCCAGGAGGTCAAGGCTGCAGTGAGCCATGATCTTGCGACTGCACTCAAGCTAAGAGACACAGTGAGACCCTGTCTCAAAAAAAAAGACTGGGCATGGTGGCTCACACATGTAATCCCCACCCGAGGCAGGCCGATCACAAGGTCAGGAGTTTGAGACCAGCCTGGCCAGCACAGTGAAACCCTGCCGTTATTTAAAAAAAAAAAAAAAAAAAAAAAAAAAA